CTTAGCAAAGAAGAGAGGGACAGCATGTTCGAATGTCTAAGCAGCATCAAGGTCCCATCGAGATTCTCCTCCAATATAAAGGGTATAATAAATGTGCCAGAGAAGAAATTCTTAAACTTAAAGTCCCACGACTGCCACGTGCTTATGACGCAATTGCTTCCAGTTGCTTTAAGAGGAATTCTACCTCCACATGTACGTCTAGCCACCGTGAAGCTATGTGCATTTCTCAATGCAATTTCTCAGAAGGTAATCAATCCAGTGGAACTAGCTACTCTACAGAATGATGTGGTTCAATGTCTTGTCAGCTTTGAGTTGGTGTTCCCTCCATCCTTCGTTAATATCATGACACACCTCCTAGTTCATTTGGTGAAGGAGATTAGTATTCTTTTACCTATGTTCTTACATAACATGTTCCCCTTCGAGAGATTTATGGGAGTCTTGAAGAAATATGTGAAAGTCCGTTCTAAGCCTAAAAGAAGCATCGCTCAGGGCTATGGAACAGAGGAGGTCATTGAGTTATGTGTTGACTTTATTCCTGACCTTGCCTCGATTGGCATTGCCCAGGGCTATGGAACAGAGGAGGTCATTGAGCTGATCAAACTTGGTATTTAGAGATTTTTTATCTGAGGTCATTTAGTATCTCATTTGAGCAAGTTTGACCAAGTCAAATTTGGTCAAATGAAAAAACAACACTTTGACTCTAGTATTATGAACTCTAAATGACTTCAAATTGAAAAGTTTTTAATACCAAGTTTGTTAAACTCATCAAGATCTATAATTGTTGTTTTGGTCAACTTTCCATTTGAGAAAGTTTGAACGGTTCAAATTTATGATTTTTAAATTTCGACGCCTACAAACTAGTTTTCGGAACCCTAGATTGTCTCAAATTGAAAAGTTTTGAATGCCAAGTTTGTTCAGCTCATCAAGATCTACAATCCTTATATAGGACATTTTTTATTTGAGAAAGTTTGAATAAAATGTAGTTCAAATTTCACAAGTGTGTGACATAGTTTCAGAAAGTCTATATGAGATTCAAGAATTTGTGACTAGTGTTTGATAAAACTTTCTTAAATGGGAAAATGAGCTATATAAAAATTGTAGATCTTGCTGATATGATCAAACTTGGTATTCAGAGATTTTTCATCTGAGGTCATTTAGTGTCTCATTTGAGCAAGTTTGACCAAGTCAAATTTGGTCAAATGAAAAAACAACACTTTGACTCTAATATTATGAACTCTAAATGACTTCAAATTGAAAATTTTTGAATACCAAGTTTGTTAAACTCATCAAGATCTACAATTGTTGTTTTGGTCAACATTCCATTTTAGAAAGTTTGGACGGTTCAAATTTGTAATTGTTAAATTTTGACACCTACAAACTAGTTTTCGGAACCCTAGATTGTCTCAAATTGAAAAGTTTTGAATACCAAGTTTGTTCAGCTAATCAATATATACAATTGTTGTTTTGGTCAACTTTCCATTTGAGAAAGTTTAGATGGTTTAAATTTGTGATTTTTAAATTTCAACGCCTACAAACTAGTTTTCAGAACCCTAAATTGTCTCAAATTGAAAAGTTTTGAATACCAAGTTTGTTCAACTCATCAAGATATACAATTGTTGTTCTGGTCAACTTTCCATTTGAGAAAGTTTAGAAGGTTCAAATTTGTGATTTTTAAATTTCAACGCCTACAAACTAGTTTTCGAAACCTTAGATTGTCTCAAATTGAAAAGTTTTGAATATTAAGTTTGTTCAACTTATCAAGATCTACAATCCTTATATAGTCCATTTTTTTATTTGAAAAAGTTGTAGAACAAAAATACTGCATTTTCTTTATTTTTATAGGTTCAACAGTGCGTCCGGTCGGTTTCTAACAGACGCGTCCGGTCGGCCCTGGGGGCTTACTGGACTCGACTGGACGCAGCGGCTCAGCGTCCGGTCGTTTTGAACAGTGCGTCCGATCGAACATGTCAGAGAGCCGTTGGAGGCAACCGGCGGACACGTGGCGGTTTGTAGCTATCGGGACGCGTCCGGTATGGCAACCGGACACGTCCGGTATTCACGACCGGTGCATCCGGTCAATATGACCGGAGCGTCTGGTCACCACGATCTGTGCCTAGTGAAGGGGTACAACGGCTCTATTTCATGGGGGCTTCTATTTAAGCCCCATGGTCGGTTCAAGCTCACTCTCTTGCACATTTTCATTGACATAGAAACCTTGTGAGCTTAACCAAACACCTCCCACGCATCTCCATCATTGATCCATCATCATTGTGAGATTGGGAGAGAATCCAAGTGCATTGCTTAAGTGATTGCATCTAGAGGCACTTGGTATTCGTGTTTTGCTGCGGATTTCACTTGTTTCTCTTGGTGATTGCCACCACCTAGACGGCTTGGTGCAGCGGTGGAGGATCGGCATGAGTTGGTGATTGTTCGTGGCCATCTCCGGTGATTGTGAGGGGAGTTGTACCTTCTCCGATGGAGCGCCGAAATGTAACTCTAGTGGATTGCTCGTGTCATTGAGTTACTTCACTTGTGGGTAGGTTCTTGCGGTGTCCAATTGTGTGGACGAGGTTCGTGCAACACCTCTTAGCCGCCGAACCACCAAGTGTTGGTCGACACAACGGGGACGTAGCGTGTTGGCAAGCACGTGAACCTCGGAAGAAAATCGGTTGTCTCTTGCTATTTGGCATTCTCTCGGTGATTAATTTCATATTCATCTTGTGATTGGTTCATCCCTCTACACGGCGGTATAATCACCATACTCACTCTTTTATATTCTTGCAAACTGGTTGTGGCAAGCTCTTTAGTGTAATTAGATTTGAGAGCTTGATTTGTTATTTAAGTTCATCTAGTGAAGCTCTTTAGTGTAGCAAGATTGAAAGCTCTTAGTGAGTAGTATCATAGCAAGTTGTGTGTTTAGTAATCATTGCAACTAGAATTGTTGGATAGGTGGTTTGCAACCCTTGTAGAGCTAGAGCAAGTTTGCATTTCGCTATTTGTCTTACTAATCAAATTGCTCTAGTTGATTTGTAGATTTTTTAATAGCCTATTTACACACACCTCTCCTCTAGCCATATTAGAACCTTTCAGGTTCTGAATTTACTCTAGTGTATCTTTCTTACAGTGTAGAGACAGTGTAAACATGGATGTAACTGTCTTCTCAATTTAATAGAATCCATTCCCATTAGCAGGAAAAATAATGGGCATGGCATACATATATTTCTATGTAGACAAATGAAAGACATTGGCTTGTTTGTTTTCGTGGAATTGAATCTTATTTGAAGAATTAAGTCATTTCATTTTAGATCTTAATTAAAGTGTTGCCGCCGGTGAAATATTGACATCGGCGGTGAGGGTCCCCCATAAGAAGCTTTTTTCATATATGGACTCGCGAGAGACGAGTGAAAGAGATGAGGCCGCGGCCCATGGAGATGGCGATGAATCTCACTTTCCATTTCTTATTATTTATGTTTCTATTTTCTTACTCTCTGAATTTGACACGGGTCAGTGTTTAAGATTTGGAAAATGGGGGAATAAAAAAATTGTAAGTTCAATAGTCTAGTTCTTTCCAATTCAGTCCAAGCTATGGGCTTCTTTTGGCCCGCTTCGGTCCGTACGTGTGCTTGACGAGGTATATTTTAATATTCCAATACTTTTTTTGAGGAAAATAGGAGGGGTCTCCCCTACTGAACTTTATTAACAACTGAAATAAAAGGTTCCTTGTACAACAGATCAAGAAACAAAGAAAGAAAGAAAATATCCAAATACTTGTACGTGTGTTGACTAGAACAATGGCATCAGCGTGGGCTCCTACACGGAGTCGGCCGGACTTTTGAGGAGCGGTTTGGTTCGTGACGTACGCTGCCCAGGCATGCATGGTGATTAGAGCCCCGTTCGCTTGTCTGAAAAAAAAGAAACCAAAATACTGTAGCTGATGATTATGTGAGAGAGAAACACTGGTCCAGCTGAAACCGACTGAAAGTGCTACAGTAACCCCGTGAGACACTTCCAACCGATCCAGCACCAGCCGATCCAGCTGCCGCCGCGTGAACGGGGCCTATATATTGGTGATGCACATGCACCGTGGGAAAGCATGCACGCGGTACAAAAATAAGCACGGCATTGTCCAAGTCTCACATCTAAGCAGAGCAGGCAGTCCCAACTCCTCTACTGCTCAGCTCAGGGACACCACATTCGTATCCATCGAAATCTCGTCCAAAAACGTGTTACGATAACGCAAAGCCGTCTTTTTTTACAATATATAAACTCGTTATGTATTCATCGAAAACGGCTATGCAACCCAACTTTTATAGTAACAAAGTAGTACATATTCAGAAAAAAAAATCAAGTGATCGGAAGACATGCCTTTATGTTACTACAGTATACGTTTCCAAAGCTTGGAACATTCCACGATTCACAAGTTAGTCCTCTCGGTCAGAGTCAGGCAGCTGATGATTGGCAGTGCCCTGCGGGGCTGCGGCCTGTGCCTCCACTCCACCACCAGCGGACAGGATCTCCGTCCAGTGCCAAAGGCTCCGTTCGCAGGATTTATCGCTGCTTTGGCCGGTTTGTAGGACTAATTTGTAACGAGAGAAAAATATTATTTTCATGACTAAAAGTAAGGAGTAAATTGCACGGTCGGTCTTTAAAGTATTGAGCTGATTTCGTCTGGGTCCCCAAACTATGAAATCGTACTCTTGGCTCCCTAATATATTTAAGTGATCTCATCTAGGTCCAAAATAGACATGAGAAGGGTTAGAAGCTGATCTGATTGTCCACGTGGACATGATTTAACCCAATCACAATCACTGCCACCGTTGGTCAACAAGCGATCTGGACCGTGGGTTTTGGATCGGCGGGGTAGGAGGAGTCGTCCTCCCCTGTAGCTGCGCAGGGGTGCTCTCCGGCGGTGTCCTCGTCGGAGTCGAGGCGGGGCGGAGCTCCGGCGAGCGGTGGAGCGGGAAGAGGAGAACACGGCAAAGTCGTCTGCCGCGTTCTCGATGGCGGGGAGGCAGCGGGGAAGGAAACCAAGGCAGTGGGACGGACGGTGGCAGTCTCGTAGGCGGGCTGCAGCCGCGCTCATCGTCGCCATGGACGGCGGCGGCTACAGCCCGCGGTTCCAGCGCCAGGCCTCCTGCTCCTGCGCCCCCTCCATCTCGCGGCGGGGGTTCGTCCGCGCGGGCTTCGACCTCGACGGCGACGATGACTACTACGATGACGACGTCGCCTTCCACTCCTCGTCATCCTCCTCCTCCAAGGTCAGCGGTCCGAGGGCGCCCTACTACTCCTCGGGGCCCCGCGGCCGTCCGCGCGGGCGAGGCTGAGGGCGTTGTGGCGCCGCATCATGCGGGAGAAGAAGCGGATCCTGCTCTGCTCCACCGGCTGCGTGCCGGCGCACGCGCCGTCGCCGCACCCTACGACGCCTACAGCTACGCGCATAACTTCGACGACAGCGAGGCGTGGGTGGAGCCCAACAACCTCTCGCGATCCTTCTCCGCGCTCTTCGTCCTCCTCCTCCTCCCGCTGGCCTCGGCCGCCACCGCGGCGAAGGTGACGGCGACGGCTCCCTGCTTGATCCCGAGCCTCGCCGACTCCTCGAGCACGGCGGGTGTACTGCTCCCTGATCCGTCCCGTCTGGTGCAGGGCATCCGCCCGGCGTCGAGGTGAGGTGGAGCAGCGGCGGCGGCAGGCTAGGAGCTACAGGCCCGCGCCGGGGGCGAGGAGAGCGGCGCGGACGGGTCAAGGGTGGAATGCGTGGAGGGAAGCCATCATGCGCCGGCGGGTGGCGAGCCGGTCTCTCCAGGCTCTGGTGTAGGGGCGAGCAGACAGCGCAGGCGGAGGCCGAAGCGCGCCCGTGCCCCACGGTAGCGGCCCAGCTGCGGCAGGCTGCGCCCTTGGAGGTCTCCACGACTCCACATCTGTCCATGCCCGCTGACGTGCCGCGCGTTGTCCTTTGCCCTGGTAGCCGCCGCCGCATCTCTATTCTCCCGCGCGCGCCATACCTACGTGCAGCCGCCACCGTCGATCTCCTCGCCTACCACGTCCCCGCCGGCGATACCTTCACGACGAATTTCGCAGCGAGGTGAGTAACCCTCCAATGCCTGTCCCGCCCTCTCCCTTCCTTCCGCGCTCACGAGCTCGCCGAATCCCGCCGCCGTGCCCGGTCCTCCTCGCCGTCGTTACCACCGTCTCTGGCCTTCGTTCGTTGTCAGACGAGTCCGCAACGTCGAGCTATACGCGTGGGAGTAATCCCCGTGCCAGGATGGGCTCTGTAGCCCGAGCGCCGCCACTTTCCGGCGAGCTCCCGCCGCTGCCCATGGCAGCGCCACCGTGCCTCGCGGCGCTGACCACCGGCGCCACTGGTCAATCTCGCGGGAGACGATCTCCAACCGTCCGATCTGGAACCAGTGGGCCAGATCCGATCCAGCCGCGGTCAACACGAAGTCAGCAGAGCTAACTGGTGCGTACGTGGACAACCTTGACACCGCCTGGGTTGTTTATGACCTACATGGGCCGGATTAAGTAGATTGGGAAGCCAACTGTGCGATCTAATAGTTTGGGGACCCAGACGTAATCAGCTCAATACTTTAAGGACCGGCCGTGCAATTTACTCAAAAGTAAAATTGATTCTAGCTGATATGATTAAGCGAACATAACCTCCCGTCCTTCAATTCTCAACTCCCCACGGGCCAGGGCCGACGGCCGATGCTGCGTCTCGTCTGCTTCGTTCTACAGTGTGTAGTGTGTACCACCAACACTGCACTACTACTACTAGTTTTCTAAACGCGTTCAGATTATAATAATAATCACTATAATTAATACTGTAATGTACTAATGAATCAATGGACCTGTTCGCTGGTTGGTGCTGGTGTTGGTTTGGGTTGGCTGGTGCTGGTTTTTTGTAAGAGGAAAACACTATTGACTGATTGGTTTGGGCTGACTGAAACCAACAAACAAACAGGCTGAATGTATGACCGAGACCGACTGGGCGGCAGACAGAGATAGGTGCCGGTCTGCGTTCCGTCTCCGTTCGTGTTCCCTTCCCGACAGGCCAGACGCTGAAACTGACACGCAGACACACACAGGACAGAGCAGCCGAGCAGCGGCACGACGACGCCGTGCAAGACAAGGGACTCGCGATTAGAATCTCTCTCTTTTTTCCGTACAAGGAGAGTAGCCGTAGTCATTTTTTACGTGGAACTACGGCGCTGTTCGTTTGGCCTTGTTAAATCATGATTGAAAATACTGTTAACTAATTTGATATATCATTGGTTGATAAATTATAATTTATAAGATAAATACGAACGAGCGAACAGGCCGTAAAACCTGAGGCTTCTGCATCCAAGCTCCAGCGGAGTAGAAAAATAGGCCGCACCAAATAAGCACTCATCAAGGTGCCTTGCCGTCTCTGGCCACTTCCTTACGATGGTTTTTATCGGAAAGTTGCTATGTTTATAATATTTTAAGCGTTTTTTAAGTGTTTTTACAAGTATTTTAGACACATGTTTTATTTGTTTTCAGACGTATGTTATAATTGTTGTATCTGGATGTTTCAAAACTATATTAGGTGTTGCATCTCCCTTCTCGCCTTTCTATTGTCTCGCCTCGGTGTCAAGCACAGGAAGCAAGCGCACGCGGAGGCGGTCCCCACTAGCGTGGGCGGGCACAGCAGGCGAGATGTGGGCGGGCAGGTGCTTATGTCCGGACGAGGGCTAGCGTACGAACGTCTGGACACTAGCCATGCCATAATTTTTTAGTGGCACTACTAGCGTCCGGATGTCCGGATGGACGCTCGCGGATGCAGTTCGTTTCCTACGTCCACACATGGGCCCACGCGGGGGCCCACGCCGCGCGACCGCTTGCGTCCCCTCCAGCTTCCCACACGTATACCATGTGTAACACCCAATCTACTTTTGAAACATTTGATTACAACACTTGCAACATAAAAAAAAGATAGATGAAACACTAGAAACATGCGTCTGAAACACTTGCAAAAACACTTGAAAAATATTACAAACATACACAACATCAAGATAAAACACTTGCAACATATGGGTGAAAACATATGCAACATCCTAATAAACACGCTTGCAACGTACGTCTGAAAAACAAATGAAATATTGGAGACAGACTCTTGCAACATACGTGTACAATCACTGCAACATATGCAACATCTCGATCTACTTTTACAACATCCATATAAAATACTTGCAACATATATTTAAAACATTTAAAATATAAGTTTACAACATGCATCATATATTCTGGTGTGACATCCTCCGCCGTCTACGTCAGGCCGCCATAGCAACAGGCAAGGCCGGAGGGCCTGACACTTCTCTTTGCGCTGGCGGCGTCTATCGGTGTCATCGGGCCAAGCGGGTGGTAGAGCAGGCGCGCGGCGTCGGAGCATCGAAACGGGCGCTCGGAGCAGTAGCAGCGGCAAGAGCAGCGGAGCGGGCGCGCGGAGCAACAGTAGGAGCAGTGGGGCGAGCGAGGCATGGGTGACGGTGGAGAAGCAGAAACAGTGCGAGGCGGGCGGCAGGAGTAATGGAAGGAGACGGATGGGAGATTTATTGGGCCGGCTGGTCAGCAGTCCCAGGCGCGCGGCGTCCGGACTGGATGGACTTCCACGTCCTATCATTTCCGTTTTCGTTTGGCTTCTCATCTGCACCAGTGGAGGTTGAAGCGTGAACAACTGAACACACACTGTTGCCATTTCTCAGCTCACCAAAGCCACCGCTTACCACCCAGCTTGGGTGAAAACTTGGCAAAAAAAAAAAGGATTTCAATATTATATACTACGTACTTTTTACAAAGCACACAAATAAGTAAAAATGCAATAGACTGTTGCATGGTCCCTAGAATCACAAAGCTGGACGCGGCCAAACAAGCTTCTTCTGCGTAATTCAGAGCTAAAAAAAAACATTGCCAGGACACCATAAAAAAGAACTCCATCGATATGAATGTTACAAGGTTGATGATGAGTACTCAATGATAAAAATACCAAAGGAAGCCATCAGTATTCAGTTCCCATGTTCCAAACCAGTAACCGTTTCTTATTAGTACCACGTATAGCCATACTAAGGGAGAACACAAATCCTGTCCTTTTGACACTCGATCATCAATCACCACAAATCACAACTTTACAAGTTCACTATGGCATGCCAAGATATAGTTAAGCACCGCTCGCCAGAAACTTGAATATATACTAGGGCATGCCAAGATACAGTTAAGCATCACCTGTCAGATTGACTGTTCGAGTAAACATCCCCAATAGATTGCATAGGGGGAACATACTAGTAGGCTAGCAAGCAGCAGTGCCCGGTGTGAATGCCTGCCTTCTTAGTAACGGTACTTGGTGGAGTAGTCCTTTGGAGCGATCACCAGACCACGGCCTTTCCGGGCGCCCCTGTAAACAGTCTCCACGATGTCGATGAACTCCTGCTTGTCCTTCAGGGCCCAGTTGATCTTGTTGTTGTTTCCTGTCCCGAGATCGATCATCATGTGCTTGTTCCGGAAGAAGAACATCACCGTCGAAGGGTCATACAGCTCGTACATGGTGTTGAAATCAGGGACCTCTGTGATGTCAACGAGATAGATGACTGCAAAGTTCTTTATGGTCTCAGCTACTGCTGCCAGCACTTCATCCATCTAAAACATTAACAAGAGTGAGTCAGAATAAAGTCAAAACACACAACAGTGCAAATTAGTGTGGAACCAAATCATATGACCAAGTGAGAATTTAAATTAGTGTGGAACCAAATCATGGACATGATTTTCAGAAAGCATTGATGAAAAGATCAGATGGCTACTTCACCTCAATTTCATTGATAAATGAATAGCAAAAAATCAAGCACCGAAGTTGTCGCTTGGCTCGCAACATGAGTGTACAGATGTACTATGTTACCTATAACAAAGAAAACATCCTAACCACTTCTGTTCCAAATTTTAAATTTAAACACACCAAATATCGAATGACAGTACAAAAGAATCAAGTGAACACAGCTGTAACATGCAATGCTACAATACAACTCAGGCCACTAAACAACAGTTTGTTCTTATAATTTAATCAGCCAAGTAGCAAACTGCGTGATTTTTCATGTTAGCCTTGCTTTGCCTCTGTTCATTGCATTTCATGCCTCCTTTCCAACCGAATTTCATTCAAAAAGCTAGCAGGGCTCATCTAACTTCTGCCCTTCTTGTTCTGCAGTGTGCTTTGGTTCTTGATAGTAAGCCTGTTATTTCACGTTCTTGTATTTTTTTTATGTTATTGCTTTTCTTGTGGTTTATGAGTTTCTTACTTTATCAAAGGACCCAACTCCCT